ACTGGCTCTTCTAAAAAGAAGAGAAAACGAAAACCATGCAAAAATCATTTTTAAGGGGAAAAAAAGTCAGGTCTACCTGCTCATAAACAATCAAAAGTCAAACAATCTCTGCCTCCAAAGGCGTGCAAGTGTACAGTCTGTGGAAAAGACTTCAACAGTCACTCAGCAAGAAAGAGATACTTCAATAGTATATATAAACTGGTAGCTATAAAAGTTGAGATGTTAAAAACTTCAAAAAACAAGCAAAAGATCACCCATCTTACTACTGCGGACAATGCAACAATACTCATCAATGCCGATATTGATAACATCAACATGGATACAGTCATTGGTGCCATCAGATTATTTAGACATGATAAACCAGTCAATTACCTGTTATATTCAAATTGTAGATTAATGTCAGGTAGTTTATTTTTAGTAACGAACTATAATCCTATTGACAACTCTTTTGGTTTAGTTGTAAGGGGCTATGCTACATGTGGAACCTTATCTACCAGTCAGATTAATGATCTTCTTAAAGATTGGGAAAATAAGGAAATTCTTAATAACGAATTGTAGTTCAGATATAATAGTATCTTAAAAGATATTCTTATCTAAACAAGTTTAACACAAAAAAAGTAAACCACACACTGGTCATATATTTATCAATATACACTTGTTGGGGTTTTGCAAGTCTAGTGATCGAAAGACCTTGGTGGGAGAAGAAATTTGCTGGCACCATACCGATATGTCAAAAATCTTTGATGCAGGTTAGAGTATATAACAGTCTGATAACCAAATTACTTTTAAAAATTGTTTTGGAAAAAATAAAGATAGTATCACATGTTCTTTCTCATTGGTTGTTATATGTAGTAATTATATGACTAGTTAGTTTTTATTATTCTAAAAATAGTTTAGCCATAGTTATATAATTAGTTTATGTAACAATACTATAATATGTAATATATTACTTGTATTGATATATGAGTTTGGATGAGCTCAATATTATATAATATATTTAATAAAGAATATGGCCTCATTGGTCAATCCACATGTTTAAATGTATTTTCTCAGCCTCATAAGAACCTGGGGTCTATTAGAAATCGCACGGGTCTGGCGTGAGTGAATACAAGACACTGTTCCCTATTACGTCTTTGGCTCTTATCAGGCAAAAGGAAGAAACATACAGCTGTAAGACCAGTTAGCTCAACTCTTAGGACATAGAGGCCTAGCGAATGTTTTTTGACTTTACTGCATCGAGGTAAAAAGGGCTCATGGTAAGGTAGAATGTACTGCATTGAATTAACCTATACAGCTACAGTATATATAGGCCACTATCCCCAATTTTTTTTTCCATAGAGATAGAATCCCTCTCACCTTGGAAGATGAAAATTACCCAACCACACCAAGAGAAGTTTCCTTCCACCAATTCCCCATCAAATTTACTGCACAGATGATCATTCTAAAGAATTCCCTCTTCCTGTTCAGCAAGAGTAGTTCGCTCCCATATATAGTTGGAACCTGGCTGGAGAGTAATTTCACCAAAGGGACATGAAAGAGTTTCTCGCAGTACTGAGACAACTAATGATGGGTCCCTAAAGTATTTAGCATATAAAATTTCACAGATCACTTATGTCCTTTTTTGAGGGACAAAATTCATAGCTTTTTACTTTAATAGGGACAAAAGTCAGGAAATGCTATAAATCAATGATTTAGATAATAGAGAACAATTGTGGGTAGTTTTTTTATGATTATTAATTTAAAATTTTTAATTTTTCCTATTGAGAAACATTTGACTTATGTTCTTACCTCCCTCTTTAAGGATCCATCTTTAGAGGCAACCTTAGGTAAAGTTAAATTGAGTAGCATCAGTACTTGATTTAGGAGTTAATAACACCATCTGAAATGACCAACAAGTCAGCACATGAATATTGCTGGGAGTTATCGCAAGATAAAATGAGGTATCACACAACACTACCATTCTGAGTGCATTAACGACAAGCACATTCAATAGAAATATTGGATAGTGTGGACTCAAGCAAAAGTTTCTTTCTCCTGTATAAGTTGCACAGTAACTTATTTATTGGCTCAAGTTTCTTTTAGAACTCATGAATAGTGTTGGTTACATCTGAAAACTAAGGAACACAAGACATTGTTTACACATCTTCTCTCCTCACTGCTAATTTAAATCTTTGAATATACACTCATTACTATTAACTATTTTTGAGGTTTTTTATAGTTAATTGGTTTATCAGAATTCACTTTATATATATGACTATAGATTTAGATACATTCCCCCGTCCTTTGTTTTTTTTTATCTTTTTTGGAATATGAAACACTAGTGGCACTTCAAGTATGCTGGCCTCTTGAAATTGTATCTGATAGACAGCAGGAATCTTTATCAATGTATTTTGTTGTCAAATAATAGATAGGTTTAAATTTTATCTGGAGTATAATCTCCTTAAATGAATGTACTTGTTTATTAAACTTCAATAAAATGGTCTGTCCTGTTTGTTAAAAAAAAAAAAAAAATTCTCTAATTACATACAAATAAAATATTTGCAAAAAATTTTTTCACTTTTTTGTTAATAAATTCTTAATATTTTCTATAAACAACTTGAAGTTTGATTTCAAGGATTATTTTTATCCTTTTCTTATTGTTTACAAATCTATTTACCTAAAAACATGACTTTCAATAGCCAAAAAAAATCAAATAATATCTTGATATCAATGACGAGAAAGTTTTCAAAGGAAGAGAACTGATTGTGAAATACTTAAAGATTCTTTTTAACCTTTAAAGTTAGAGGTTTACAGAAGTTTTATTGTAGATAAAAGGTTTACTTTATCTCTTTTAAGCTGTTCTAGTTTCTTAGAGCTTTTACCTTTATAGTTTTTTAAGGAATTTTACCTGTCAAAGTTTTATCCTGAATTTTTGATAATACAAATTCTTACCAAAGGCGATTGATTGACATGAAACATGTTAGTTTCTGAAATATAAACAAGTTCTTATTGATTATACTCATATGTTTTAATAATATCATTAGTGATTGAAAAGAATATTCTAGAAAAGTTTGCTCTTAAAAAGCTTAAGTCTCTTAATGAAGATTTCTATAATATCAAAAGATCAAGTTAATGGATAATATAGATTGCAAATTTCTATTTATTACTTAAGTTCCTCAAATGATAACAAAACATTAATTAAAAAGTTGAGGTTTAAATACTTTCTTTAAGATATTCTAATCTAATGTTTACTTAAATGAAAAATAGTTAAATTAATAATTTCAATGTATAAGTAATAAAAAAGAAGATTTTTTATAAGGTTCAAGTGAGGTAAAAAGATTATTCCAATCAGGTAGATTCTTTTTAAGAAGAATTTATTTTTATTTTTGAAATTTTTGATGGATCTTGAATTGTCTCCTTCTCTCAAATTGATTTTTCCTTTTCTTTTTTTAACTTAGTGATTCATTGATTTTTGGATTAATCAACAGTAACAAATTGTTGACAATGATTCCAATAGATAAGGATTATTATTAATTAATTAGAGAAGTATAATATTATCCTTAAAATCTGACTTAGAGTGTTTATATATAAAGATGAATTAGTTATTTTGTGAAAGTCTATAAACTATTATAGATTTGTTTTGATTTTTCAATAAAAACAAGCCATCGTAACATGATTGCTGGTTAAAAATATATATATATAATATAAATAAAAAAATTAAAATTAGTTTGTTTAAAAAACTTAATAACCTTAAAAATATATAAAAATTAAAAAAAAATTTTTTCTAATAATTATAATAAATAAAATTAAATTTAGAATAAATTAATTGTATTTCAATTTTTTTAAAACTTAAAAAAATAATTTAAGTAATAATATCAATAATTATAAAAATTATGATTAAGCTATTAATATAATAATATATTATTTTGAAAAATGTACCTAAAGTTATTTAAATTAAAAAAAAGGATTAGTTAGAAAAATAATTTTAGCAATTTATAGATTTATATATAATTTAAAAATATTTAATATAGTATATATAACTAGTTTGACTAAGAATTAAAAAATATTTTATAATTTGTTATTTAATATAAAATTTTGTTTATTTAAATTTCAAAAAATTTTTATTTGAAATATAATTTAAAAAATAAATAAATATTTTTTTAAATGTTAATAAAATTAAAAAACTGTTTATTTTATTTTATTTACTTTCTTAAATTTTATAGTTTTATAATTTTTTGAACTACAGTAATTTATCATATTATTTATTTTATTTTTATTATTTATTCAATCTATTTTATCTTTTTTTAAATAAAAAATTTTAATTGCAAATAAACAAATAAATGCTATAGTTAAAAACTTTGATAAAAAAGATTCAAATTTATCAAAAAATGTTACATTTAAACAAAAATAAATTTTTTTGAAAAGAAAGATGTTTATTAATAAGTAAAAATTGTTTATTTGATTTATACATAATATATATTGTAATTCGAAATAACATTTAATAAAATTTTGACATTTAAGCATACTATTTATCAACAATACAAAAACAATATTTCATTATATTATAAATTTTTTAAAAGAATAATGTCTATTGAATAGAAAATTATATCAAAGAAAATTATTTATAATAGTATTACAAATTTGTTTAAATCTGTCTAATAATTTTAATAAATTTATCAAAAAAATTATTAATAAAAATATTGCAAGATAAAAATTATATTATATCGCAAAATACAAACTGCATTTTAGCTTCTACGAGAAAATGCTACTATAATTAATATTTTGATATTATCGTTTTAAATAAAAACAATCAAATCCGCATTAATAATTATAATTGACTCTTGCATTCCAGTTGTGTTTCTAAGAAATATAAAATGCAATGCAAACATTCATTATACAGCATGATTTAACAATCCTGATGACAATTACCGTATACACAAACTTTTCTCTTGTAAAATCTAATCTCAATCAAGTATTACAACATCTGAAGTAAAACGTCGCACGACACACAGTGTGCCAAGATGAATGACTCGCAATCCATCGTGACAATACATTCAAAAAATTTTTCGAAGTATATATAATTTAATCTTTATTCCGAGTAATATCCATTTCAAGTAAGTCTTCGTTTATTACCTCATTTTATCGTGGTCCTAAAAACTTACACAATTGTGTAACTCTTGCGCACACCGTTTCTTTTATAGTTGCCAATTAATAATGGGGAAGAATCAATTTCTTGGCAAACGAAAAAAAATAACCCACGACTTGCGATAAACGTAAACAATAAACCAAAACCAACTTCCCCACGTTTATATTCTTTGAAATATGGTTTGTTCTCGAGTGGTACGTACGCACATATTTTAAATGTTAACAACGATCCTTTTTGTAAATAATAATCGTCATCGCAACCTTTTTAGAAATTTTGGAATTTATGCAATGTTACGAATTGTACTCACTAAAGTTAATTGAGGAACTGGCATCACAAATATTGCAAATTTTATGCTTATTATGAAAGGGGTCATTACTTTCTGTTGTGATTGTACTTTCGCAAAAAAGTTTTTAAACTTGGTTTTTGAATTTGAAATAACTGCTTCAGTGTTTATGTGATACATCTACAGATGAGATATTGCACAAGAGTTGAGCTACTCTAATTACAAATTCAGGACGCCGTAAAATGCTTTTGAATCGCTTCGAAAGGAAAAAGGTTAAAAATTAAAACACAAAGTACAAACAAAGAAGCACATATGCGAATACATTTTAATGAAATAAAAAAAATTAAGTAATATGTACAGCTTTTTTTCTTATAAATAAACGAGGCCCCGCTGAGTGTTGAAAATCTGACAGCAGAGTAATCAACTGTCTTACGTAGTAATTGCGATAAAGGATTCTTATTCGTTATGATTATTCCAAGATTGTCGGTTGTCGCGTCGCTCTTATGTCTCGCAATAACTTCACACGCTCTTCCGTGTGAGAAGAAGGTGGATGACATCAAGCATGTTCTTCTCATTTCAGTTGACGGTCTCCACCAAAAGGACGTTGACTCATTCTCCAAATCAAACCCCGACTCAACTATCGCCAAGCTTCTGCACACTGGTGTCTACTTTAACAATGCTTCAACCTCAAAACCTTCTGATTCTTTCCCTGGTCTCATGGCTCAAGTGACCGGTGGAATACCAGCAACTACTGGGGTTTGGTACGATAATGCATGGTAGGTAATTGATGGTGATAGTGGGTATAATTATATTACAGCGCGCTTTAATATTACTGTATCCTATTTTAGGGATGGCTCATTGTTCCCGGCTGGGTCCAACTGTAAGGGAACACCCGGTATCCCTACTACTTGGGACGAGTCACTTGACTTTAACTCTACCGCAGTCTTCACATCTATCAATGATAGTCTCCTCCCAGAGAGACTCGTTGATGGAGAATGTGTAAAGGTGCAACCATACGAATTTCTCCGAGTTAATACCATCTTTGAGGTTGCTAAGAAATATGGTCTGGTAACAGCTTGGACCGATAAATTACCTGCCTATTCGATCATCAGAGGACCTTCTGGAACTGGTGTAGATGACTTGTTTGTCCCCGAAATTAGTGGTGTCAATAAAACAAATGTCACTGCAGTTGAAGGTTACGATGAACTTCACATCAAAGCCATACTCAACTGGATCAACAGTCTAAAAGCAGATGGCTCACCTTTTAGCGTTCCAGCCATTTTCGGTGGCAATTTCCAATCCGTTAGTGTAGCTCAAAAATCAACCGCCGGAGGTTATTTGGATGCCAATGGTACCCCTTCTGCTGTACTTAAAGGGGCCCTCGAATATGTCGATGATGCTCTTGGACAATTTGTGGACGCTTTGGACAAAAAGGGCTTATTAGACTGTACAATAATTATCATTTCCGCGAAACATGGTCAATCTCCCATCGATAGAACAAAATTAAAGGAAATTCCTAAGGCAACTTTATCCGCTCAGGTCACTGTTCCGATTAATCAATTGACAGTCGATGATGTTGCATTATTCTATTTGAAAAATCATAACGATTCTGGAGTTGCTGCGAAACAACTTCTTGCAAACGCCACTCTTCTCGGTATTACGACATTGTACGAGGGACAAAGTCTGATAGATGAATTTCACTGTAACCCATGCGAAGATTCTCGATGTCCCGACATCGCCATTAAGACAAACGTTGGTATCATCTATAGTACAGCACCCAAGATTGCTGAACATGGTGGTTTCAATGAAGATGATCTCCATGTTCCAATCATCGTTTCGCATCCTACATTTGAATGCAAAGTTGACTCCACCTTTGTCGAAACCCGATCCATTGCACCCTTCATTCTCTCTGTTTTGGGCATGGATCCGAACGAATTAGAGGCCGTCTGCAAGGATCAAACTCCAAATCTTCCATTATTTGAATAATAATATTTTATAAGGCGATTAATACTTTAATTATTCCTACAAAAATGTCATAATTTATGACACCAACAAAATGATGATTGATAAATGTAACTATTATTTCTAGAAAATTTTGATAACAGATCTTAAGGCTTCACTGCAAACAGATATAAGAATAAAATCTCTTAAACCTCACATTCAATTTCTTTGTCATCTTTGCAAAATCATGTGATTTATAAAAAAAAATCAAACGTTAAAATTATGAATTTTCGATCCGATCTTGTTTTAGCGAAAGAAATGATTATGTATATAACTCTGATTAATACTGCATTGTTGTAATTCGATATTTTTTATTTTACTCTTTTTAGCTAAAGAAGGAATCTTGTGCTCACGTGACATTAAATTTAAACCAAACCTAAAAAGGTATGTGATGAATTTTTTTTAAAAAATTTATTTTTTCTATCACAAACTTTTTACCGTTTTAGTAGCATAATATATCTTTTAGATTTTATAAGATTTATTTATTTATTTTATGACTAATTATCATATAATTTTTAATCTTTTTAATATTTTATAAATTTATTTTTTATTATTTTTTTTTTTTTGCACAAAACAGGCCCACTTTATTAAGATTTTTAGGATACATGATACTTTGATTACAAAGCTATTTTGTAAACATTTTCCTATGTTACCTATCTAAAATTTCCTTAAAAAAGCCAGTTTGTCTTTTAAGACTCTCTGTGGCTTGTTGTCCATATCTATGAAACTAACGTGCCTAGGCTCCATTAGCATGCGAGAAAATGTCGTAGATGGTTTTGGTATCAGAGATGATATCAGTTAGTAGATTGTGAGCCATTTGTGTATGTGAGGTGTGTTACAGTTTTTGCCTGTTGTTTTGTTTGTGGTGCGTGTTTTTTTTGTATGAAATTTCATTGTCTTTGATTCATTTATGAAACCTTCTGCATCTTTTTCTTCCTATATGTTGAAGGTGAGGAATTTAATGTTGTTGATTATGCCTCTAATGGTTTCTACCATTCTGTTTGAATCCAGGTGTTGTGTTATGAGTTTAGTTATACCCTTACTGATTCCTTCTCTGATTAGGGTGTCCCAGGTGTTATGGTTGTTAAGATTGGTTGAAGCTTCAAATTTTATGTTGATGTTGGTTAAGCCATCCTTTCTTGCTGTTATTTCTCTGCTGATGATGTTGGCTATTATTTAGATCAAAAAATTCAAAATGATATCGACTGCGATTTTACAATGTAAAAAACTCATTTAATAAATTCAAAATTATATTCAAAATCCGATCGCTATTTCTTGTAATTCTATAAACAATGGAACGACCAAGTAATTGGAATCTTGGTTCAAATGATTTGCAAAAATTTTTTGGAATTTTTGACGACGGCCCGTCGCCGAAATTTTGTATGGGGCGGATTATTTGTGCTACTCATTTTCACGATCCTAAATGCAAAAATAACGGTAAGTAAAAATATGTTTATGTTTTATAATCCTAATTAATAGCGGTACAGGCCCCTTAGGGGCGATTCCTATGGAGTCATAAATAATGGTATATTACTTTAAATTAGTGGAAGAAAACGCTATTGGTATCCACCAGAGAAGGGAAAAATTTTTATTTATTTTATATGTCCAGAGCCGTAAAAACCATTCCAAAAACCAAATCCATTTTCGTTAGTTTTGTGGTAAAAGCGAACTCCCTTAAATTCCTGCGAGGAAATGATCACGATGATCTTGGAAATGCAAAGTCCTGTAACATGCGAACTTTGATAAAACTACTAATTAGAATTGATAAGCCCATTCCTCTTATGGCTCTTTTAAACTCATTTCGTGTTTTTCTTATCAGATAATGAATGATTTCTACGTAGACATCCTTGTAAAAAATAAACCAAATCGCATTACGTATAGAATATCGGGCGAATCAGGGATCGGCGTAGAAGTTGGTACAACATAGATTATCATTTTTCACTTTATTATTTATTGGGAAGTGACGTGTACTGTATACGAGAGTATACGGAAATGAAACTCAATAAAGTCAATAAAGTCAATAAATATTGTCAGAAATCATGTCTTATAGGAGTTCAAAATCTCCACAATCTCCGCGTTCGTCGTGTTTTACCAACTTTATTACCTGCATAATCTATATACTATAAAGCCACTGATTTAATTGCGAAAAAAATATTTACTTTCTTTCCTTGCATTATCCATCTTTTTGACTAACTGGCATAAACCAGATTTTTAACACCATATACCATATATCAATATAAAACGATACCATGTCTTCTCACGATTCAACACCCTCCGCGCCAATTTTTACATCCTCTGCTTTGACGGAAGAAAGGACAACTCGTACGTTGTGAAAGATCTAGATACGGAAGAACTTATCTATTATTTACAAAGGCGAGACCAGAAGCTTATAGAAGCCGATTTCAAAATGTTTCGCAAAGAGAGGATCTTTGGTCGTGTCTTTCTCAAATTAACGGTAGAAGCATTGGGTTTGCGGATTCTATCGAAGAGATATTAGAACAAAAATTAAGAAGCTTCCCTTCATATAAGACATTGGGGGAATTGAAAGGAGTGCTTCGCAAATATAAAGTTAACGGTGAGGATATTACGAACATTCTTGACATTTTTTTTCCGGGACCACGCGGTCTCGCAGATTTCTTGACAAAAGTGATCGGCAAAAACCGTGCCCCAAGGGAACAATCGAGCATCGGTTATATGCTAACTTTTTATGTTATAGTTCCCGAGAAAGTCGATGATTATGACAAAGCCCTACATCAATGTGTGAACGAAATAATACTACGATTAACGAATGTGAAATCAATGATAGAGGCCAACGAAGCAACGCGTTGCAAATTTATTCATCCATGAAGCGTCTGGTAGGGTTGATTATGCCATAATAGGGATCGAGGATTTTTGTGCATCACTGAGGGTAAGCCACAAAATGTTAAGATAGGTTACCTCTAAAATATAAAATAATTCGGGAATTCCTTCCACATTAACAAGAAGAAAGGAACCGCGGACGAAACATTTAAGACCGAGGATTACGACTACCTATATGAGATTGTGTCGACAGGTATGAGATTCAATTTTTATTGGGGCAGATTCGTAAGACAACTCTCAGTCATGATCTTCGTTCTGGCCTTGCTAATTATCTGATTTATTTTTAGGCGCGGATTGGCATTTTATCATTTTCACTTCCGAAGGAATTTTTTGTACTAGCAATAGTGAATATCAAATAAATCTTACGAAAAAGCGCTTAAGGGAAATCAGGAAAGTCTGAGGGAAGATATGAAACAGGTAATCGGTATGGCCGTAGGGTCATAGAAAGATAGGGTGTTAGCGTGTGATGAGCTTGAAAATAAGAAGCGACGCGTGCAAAAAAAATTACCAAAGAATAGTGGGAAGATAATCCTTGATTTTCATGTATTTTTTATTATATAAATAAAGCAATCAAATCTGAATGATCTTTTTTTCGATAATATATTTTTGCATGTATTAATAAAAAAAATTTTTTTAATGTAAATATCGACTCAGAGTTAGGATGCTATCGCATTTAATGATGACATGTATATATCGAGAATTTTTCTTGACGGAAGTGATCGGCGTGAATAATGCGAACTCGGGAAATTAAAATTCCGGCATCCAAAGCCTTTCTTGACGATGAAGATTTTTGCTAAATATTGAATAAGATCTACATTTTATGTAAAACAATGGCAAACCCTCAATCCGAAAATAATTCATAGGATCATTGAATTCAAAACTCGTGGCTGAGATTACTGAACTTAGAAAGAAATATGCCGAGATCGAGGCCAAAAAGGGTGAGCTTGAAATCAAGAATGCTGAAATTTCCGAACTTAGAAGAGAGAAAGATTTGCTTATGGCTAGAATCATAGAATTAGAAAAATCCACAAAAGAAAGTGCCGAGAATGAGAAGCAAAGTCGGATAGAAAATTCTGAGCCTAAGGGTAGAGTCACGAAACTAGAACGTGATATCGAGGAGATCAAGCAGAAACAAATTACATCTAATCTTTCAGAACCTCATGCTGATATATTCATGCCAGAATCTCCGGAATTATCGGCAACTACTCAATTATCTTTTCTTCCGATATAAATTCGAACGACATGCCTAAACAGATAAACATACAAAATGAGGATGCCTCAACATCTAATATATCTGACGCTTCAAATTCTAATGTGGATCAGGAGATGAAGAGATCGAATTTCTGAATGGAACAGATTAGTAGTGAGATTAGAGAAAGAAAACGAAAAAAAAAGCCATTACGAAATAATGAAATATCTAATAATCAAAACAATTTATCATATAATAAAGATAAATTATTAGAGCAATCCAATTCATCGTGTGTTGTAAAAATCGTTACAGTGGAAACTGAGGTAAGTGAGGAAACAAAGGTTAATAATAATGGAACTACCACGGGTAATAAAAATCCGAATATTTCAGAAATAAAGTTTTCTCTTGTCCCTAGTCCAAATCATCTAATAATATTCCGTATAATCAAAAAGTAGAACAGGGTTTAATTAGTGAGTTGCTTGAATCTATTACGTAGAAGTAATAATCCTCTATCTTTACGAACTTTAAATTCTATATCTGGCAAACAAATTTTTGACATACAGTATGCGGATGATTTAACCATAGGTACCACACCTTATCTAGCCACTTATTCAATAAGGCCGAAAAAACTAGTAAGGAAGGAAAAATTACAATGGTATTATTATATTGAGGAATATGAAAAAAAGGTCAAAACTATTGGTTTGGAAAACAATATTAGCGATCAAAATGGTGAGAACACATTTACGATTATATAACGCCATATACTGTATACCTGGCATTAAGAGAGAGTATTTACGCAAGATGACCCAAAAGGCCAAAAACATTTATACATTTGTTTAAAAGAATATGTATAGACAAAATAAATATTTTGTTTCTATTATACCAGGGTGGCACTGAATACTGTCGAAAACCCACCTTTTCCTATCTCCTCAATATCTTCAGTCACCGTAAGGGAGGACCCGAGATAGTGGGAGCTAATTTTCAACAACCATTTCGAGTACAGTAATTACGTGCGATACATATACAGTATTAAGTTTTTAACTGAAAATGATTCTTTCTACCTAATTAATTATTCATCCCAAATCCATCGAAGAAGCGACTTTCAAAGTGCACGCATTCCATTAGTATTATCCTAACCGGGTTTATCTCTCACAATCATTTTAAAATTTATACTTATTTGGATTTACTTTCTTTTGTTCCGCCAATTTTTACTATCCCCGACATCCCTTGTGCATGTATGGATGTACTGTATGTATGTACTGTATCTTGATCGCCCATAGATGGTTTTTCTTGGTCTACCAGACGCAATAATTTTCACTACGTATCACGATAAGATTGCAGGACGTTGATCATAAAATTTAGTTAAATGTGGCTTATAATGTCTTTTCTATAAATGCGCATCAGCCTGCCACTTTGAGATGAAGGTTTATGTTTCCCCTATATTTTTGCACTCTCTTCTTACTATACTAGAAACGCGTTGATTGCATCGCCAAACGAGTTTGTTGTCTTCGGATAGTTTGCTCAGCCATGGGAGGGGTTCAATAATTGAAGTAAATATACAGCATCTACATGAATAATCTGACAATGCAAACCTTATGCGTTATACACTATCTTTCAATTATTACGTGCACAAGAAAAACGAGCGTTTTCTTTTTTTTTTATTCGTCGATCGCATTTGGTTAGTCAATAGGCACGAGCCATCATCCTAAGTGGTTATTCGTAGAATGAGCATAACTACAATCATGCGTGGTGGCTGCTTTGGTGATGATAAATCGAGACATGAAAATGGTAAGATTACATTTGAATTGTGTTCCCCCCCTTGGCGCGTATGATTGATTTTAACTTCACCCGGTTATGTGAAACAATGAATCGGTCATGCTGCTTGTTGTTATGGTTTGTTATGGTTACGCATGTATTTGTGCAAGGAGAGGTCAAAAAAAAAAAAAGCTAGATATCAGAATCGGGTTAATTATGCTTATATTCTTTTCTACTAAAAAATCAATCTCAAGCATAGTAAAGGTTTTGATGATTAAATTTTCTTGGAAGCACATAGCAGTGATAACACTTCTACCTTTCGGCCTAAGGAATGGTGGTGGATCAATATAGCGAGAGACTTTTCGATCTCGATACAATACTGGGAATCGAACCCGATAATGTTTCCGCACTCATCAACCGTGGGGAAATCTATAGACGACTGGGCAAATATGATGAAGCGCTTTGTGATCTCACCAGATCACTGGTGTTAAGCCCTGATGATGCTTTCGCGTTGAAGAATCGTGGAGCAACTTACGTAATGTTGGGCAAATATAAGGAGGCATTCTCTGATTTAAACAGATCGTTAGAAATAAATCCCGATGACGCCTTTTCGCTGAGAAACCGGGGAGAAGTTTACAGAGTTCTGGGGAAATATCGAAATGCGCTCGTTGATTTAAATAAGTCGTTAATGTTAAAACCTGACGCAGTTTTTGCATTAAGAAATCGTGGGGAAATTTTTCGAATCCTGGGAAAATATGAGGATGCGCTTCTTGATTTAAATCGATCATTAGAGATAAAATCGGACGACGCCTTCGCGTTAAATTCTCGTGGGGCCACCTACAGAATGCTGGACAAATATGGAAAAGCTCTTTCGGACCTCAGTACGTCACTAGAAATAAAGTCGGATGATGTTTTTGCACTAAAGAATCGTGGCGCGACTTACAGGATATTGGGGTGATATGATGAAGCACTTGGGGATCTAAATAGGTCACTCGAATTGGATCGGGGTAACGCCTTTTCGTTAAGAAATCGCGGGGAGATCTACCGACTTTTAGGCAAATACAAAGAGGCATTGTCGGACTTGAATAAATCGCTGGCAATCAAACCGAATGCAGTTTTCGCCCTGAGAAATCGTGGAGAGATTTTCAGAATGATGGGTAAATATGACAACGCAATTTTAGATTTAAATAGATCATTGAAAATAAAACCGAACGATGGCTTTGCCCTGAACGCACGTGGTGCAACTTATAGGATGTTGGGTAGATATGACGAGGCACTTGCGGATCTTGATAAATCAATAGAAATGAATTTGAATGATGATTTTGCGTTAAAATTGCGTGGGGAGACTTACAGAGTGCTGGGTAAATATAAAGAAGCCCTTTTGGATTTCAATAAATCTCTAAAGATAAAATCGGATGATGCTTTCGCATTAAGAAATCGTGGAGCAACTTACATACTGCTAAGTAGATACGAGGAGGCGTTTTTGGATCTAAAAAGACTATTGAAAATAAAACCAGATGATCCTTTCGCCTTGAATTCATTCGGAAAAACATGTAAAACGACGAAAAAATTTAACGAAGCACTGTTCGATTTCAGCAAATTATTGGAGATCAAACCGAGCGATGACCTTGTGTTAAGAAACCGTGGAGACATCTATAAGATGTTGGGTGAATATGATAAAGCAATCTTGGATTTTAAGAAATCTCAGAGAGAAGAACGGAATGACGCCATTGCACTGAGAAATCGTGGGGCGATCAACCGCATACTGAACAGATATAAGGAGGCGCTTTCTGACTTCAATAAATCGTTGAGAATAGAACCCGATAACGTTACTTCACTGGAAAACCGCGGGTACATTTATATGGTATTGGGTGAATATGATAATGCACTTTGGGATTTTAGTGAATCGTTGAGAATAGGGGGGAACAATGCTTTTGCATTAAGAAATCGTGGTATAGCCCATAGGATGCTAGATAAGTATGGTGAGGCGCTTTCTGATTTCAACAAATCGTTGGAAATAGAACCGAACAATCCTATAACGCTAAAATGTCGCGGAGAAATTTACGTGCTGTCGGGAAAATACAAAAAAGCACTTTCGGATTTCAATAGTTCACTGGAGAAAAAATCAGTCGATGATCTTACATTATTTAATCGCGGTCTAACATATTCAATGTTAGGCAAGCGTAACAAGGCACTTTCGGATTTTAATGCATTACTGGAACTTTTATCTGACGATGTCCTTTTATCGAGAGCTCGTGATAATGCATGCGAGATGTTGGGCATGAATGATAAGGTGGTGTCGGCATTAAACAAATCATTGTCAAAGAGCCCAGATGATGTTTTTCTATTGTGGAATCGGGGTATAACCTATAGAATAATGGAAAGGTACAGGGAGGCACTTTCGGATTTTAACAAATCACTGAAAATCAAGCCGGACGACACATTTGCATTGAAGAATCGTGGCGAGGTATATAGGATCATGGGAAAATACGAAAAGGCATTGTCGGACTTCAACATATTACTGAAATCAGAGAAACGGGATGCCTTTTTGTTAAGAATTCGTGGGAAAACCTACAGAATGCTGAGTAAATATGAGGAAGCACTCTCCGATCTTAACAAATCACTCGAGATAGCGCCGGATAACACTTTTGCCCTGAAAAATCGCGGAGAGGTATATAGAATGTTGAGAGAATACGATAAAGCACTTTCAGATTTCAACAGATCTCTAGAAAGAAAGTCAAATGATGAGTTTTTATTGTCGAGGCGTGGTGCAACCTACAGAGCGTTGGGAGAATACGACAATGCAGTATCAGACTTAACCCGATCACTAGAAATAAATCCTGATGACACCTTTTCATTGTGGAATCGCGGACAGACTTACAAATTATTGGGAAAATATGGCAAAGCGCTTTCGGACTTAAATAGATCACTAGAGATAGGACGGAAAGATACATTTGCGTTGAAAAGCCGTGGGGAAATCTATAAAATTTTAGGAAATTATAATGAGGCACTTTTGGATTTGACTAGGTCATTGGAAATCAAACCGTATGACGCTGCGGCATGGAGCGATCGCGGGGAGGTATACAGAATGTTAGGTAAATATAATGAGGCACTCGCCGACATTAATAGGTCGTTGGACGTGAGACCGGATAATGCCCAGGCACTTAAAAATCGCGCAGAAATTTATAAGGTGCTACGCAAATATAACAAAGCACTCGTGGATCTAAACAGATCACTGGAAATAAACCCCGACGATTTTTTCGCATTAAGATCACGTGGGGAAACGTATAGAAAGTTGGATAGGTACGACGAGGCGATTTTGGATTTCAATAGATTGTTGGAACTAAAGCCGGATGATGCCTCACTGGTTAGAAACCGCGGAGAAATTTATCGGATCTTGGGTAAATATGATGAGGCACTTTTGGATTTAAATAAATCATTGGAGATCGAACAGAAAAACGCCTTTGCGTTAAAGAACCGTGGGGAAATTTACAGAATGTTAACCAGATACGACGAGGCCCTTTTGGATTTGAATGTATCGTTGGAGGTGGAGATGGATGACTCTTTTGCTTTAAAAAATCGTGGCGCAACATATAGGATGTTGGGCAGGTACAATGAGGCGCTTTTGGATTTCGATAAATCGCTGCTGATGGAACCAGACGATGTTTTTTCATTGAAATTACGTGGAGACGTCTACAGGATGTTAGGAAGATATAATGAAGCTATTATAGACCTTGAAAAATCGCTGGATATTGCGAAAGATGATGCTTTTGCATTAAAAATACGCGGGGAAACCTATAGGATGTTGGGTAAATATAGGAAGGCGATTTTGGATCTTAGTAGATCACTTGAAATAGAAAGCAATGATGTCTTCGCGTTAAATTCACGTGGCGAAACTTACAGAATGTTGGGTGAATATGACGAGGCTCTAAAGGATTTCGACAAATTATTAGAAATCAAGCCAACCGACCCTTTTGCACTAAAGAACCGTGGGGAAACCCACCGAATACTACACAGATACAATGAAGCGCTCTCAGATCTGATCAAATCGCTAGAAATTAAACCAGGAGATTTTTTTGCATTGAGATCACGGGGAGAGACATACAGAATGTTGAATAAATTTCACGAGTCACTTTCTGATATTAATCGATCTCTTGAAATTAAACAACACGATGCTTTTGCTTTGAAAAGCCGAGGAGTGATCTACAAATTGCTGGGCAAATATGACGAAGCACTCTCGGATTTAAACTTATCGCTGCAATTAGATCCTGGCGATTGTTTCGCATTAAAATCGCGCGGAGAAATATTTAAACTGTTGAATAGATATAATGAGGCACTTGCTGATTTTAATGGATCACTAGAAATAGAGCCCGTTGATGCTTTTGTGCTAAAATCACGGGGAGAAACACATAGAATGATGGATAGGTATAACGAAGCGCTTTCTGATTTTAATAGATCATTGAAAATAATACCAGACGACGCGAATGCTCTAAGGAACCGAGGAAGGGTATATAGGATTTTGGAAAGATACGATGAAGCACTTTTGGACTTCAACAAGTCGCTAGAATTAGAACGAGATAATTTTCTTGCGTTAAATGATCGAGGGAAAACCCACATGATCTTGGGTAAATATAACGAAGCACTCGCGGATTTCAGCGGTTCATTAAGTATAAGACCAGATGAAACCTTTGCGCTGAAGAATCGCGGGGTAATTTATAGAATTTTAGGCAAATACAATGCTGCACTATCCGATCTCGATCGACTGCTGCATCTGGGTCGAGATAATGCCTTTGCATTAAAAAACCGCGGGGAGATCTACCGGATTTTAAGCAAATACGACGAGGCACTTTCGGACTTGAATGAGGCGCTAAAAATGGTGCCAAGTGACGTCTTTGCATTGAATTCACGTGGCGCAACTTACATGAAGTTGGAAAATTATCATGAGGCACTCTCTAACTTTGACAAATCATTGAAAATAAAACCAGAAAATATTTTTTCATTGAATTTGCGCGGGGAAGTTTATAGAGCATTGGGTAAATACGACGAGGCACTTTTGGATTTTAATAGGTCACTGGAAATTGAACGGGATAATTATTTTGCGTTGAGGAGTCGTGGAATAGTATACGTGACATTGGGTAAATATGACGAAGCACTTTCAGATCTCAATAAGTTGCTAGAAAGAAATCCAGATGATCATTTTGTATTATGGAATCGTGGATCAACCTATAGAATTTTAGGTAGATACAATGAGGCTCTTACGGATTTCAACAGATTGATGGAAATAAAATCAGATGATGCTTTTGTATTGAGAAATCGTGGAGATACATACAGAGCCATGAATAAATATCGGGAGGCACTTTCCGATTTGAACCGATCATTAGAAATCGAACCTGGAGATGCTTTCACTTTGAAATCACGTAATGAAGCGTTGAAAATGTTGACAAAGTATGAATCGTGTTCAGATTTCAATAGACCGTTCGAAATCGGCAAATGGGATTTTGGGATAGCACATGATGTACTGGATATATGGAATGAAGGTGTGACGGCAAATACAATAAACACCAAAAATGAAATTCACTATATACCGTATAAAAAATTTAAAGATATCGAATATTTGGCGGAGGGTGGGTTTGGAAAAGTTTATAAGGCCACTTGGGTAGAAATTTCCAAAGAAGCGAAGAAAGTGACCCTCAAGTATTTAAAAGATTCCAAGAACAAATATAAAGATCTCACAAAAGAGGTAAAATACACGTTTTTCACTAAAATTTATGCATTTAATCGAAATGATTTCGGTTTATTTACTGTATATTTCTTAACGAACAGTTGGCATCGCTCAAGGTTGTCAATTTCGAGGAATTCGTTTTGAAATATTATGGAGTCACAGAAGATCCAAAAACAAGAAATACAATTATTGTAATGGAATACGCCAATGATGGGAGTTTGCATCAGTATTTATCCAAGCACTTCAGAAATGTCACGTGGCAGAAAAAGATCGAAATACTATATTATATCGCGACAGGGTAAGTAGGAAAGCAAATGGAAATTTATGTATTTCTTTGTTTACCTATTGTATATCAATTTGTAAATTTGCAGACTAGAAGAAGTTCATAAAAGTGGATTGGTGCACCGCGACTTGCATTCCGGGAATATTTTAATGGGAGTAAACGGGATAAAAGAATCCGTCAAAATTGGAGATTTAGGATTATGTCGAAAGGTCTGTTCGGATTCCGAAGACGACCCAGTATATGGCGTACTGCCTTATATGGCGCCGGAAATTTTCGAGGGATCATCATATACTTGGGCCTCCGACATTTATAGCTTTGGGATACTGATGTGGGAATTAACGACAGGACATCAACCTTTTCTATATAGAGTCCACAATTTAGAATTTATGGACAGGGTCATCAAGGGATTGAGACCTAAAATTTCCACTGATACACCGGAAGTATTTTCGGACCTGATGAAAAGATGTTGGGATTCAGATCCGTCTAAAAGGCCGAGTGCAAAAGAAGTCAAGGCACAGCTTTACAAATGGCACAAGAAAAATAAAGATTTTAATTATTTTAAGCACTCCGAAAAGCTTAGAAAGGGTGGGATTGAATTTAAAATATCAGCACAAAACTTGTCGTTAAATAATGTTCGCTTCGGCGCATTTATAAAAAGTCGACCTTTAAGTGAAATATTTAATCTGCATCTTTTGGATGATAAGAAAGTTTGAATTGATAATTTGGAATCCGATGTTTTATAATTTTAAAAATATTCAAAACCAAAGGACTAATACTTGTAGATAACACATTTATTCAACGAACCTAGAATCAGGTTGTATAGTACGTATGTAGCAATAATGTAATATATTTTATATTTTTTGTAAATTGGTTTCTTGCTTAATAATACTTTAATGCCCTCGACATGGAATGATAAATTGTCTAAATCGGGAAATTTTGAATTTCTTTTACATGCCGCCAATTGATATCCAAAGGGTAGCATTGATTGATTCATTATGAAAGTTTTTCTTTAAATATATTGAATACCGTATTTCGAAGGATTAACATAAAAGAAACTCTCACCCTAACGAAAGTTACTTCGAAAATTTTCACAAGTCATTTTTTTAATAAATAGTAATCTAATTTAAAAAAACTCAATACACCTCAAGAATTAAAATTATATGTTTTTATTAATCATTTCATATTTAAAATATATTTAAAATTCATGAAGCTATAAACATTTTATTTCTGTAAAAATTATTATATAAATATTAATGGTTGTTTATTAATTTTTAATAATCATTATTATATTTTTTATCAAAATTTAGTTAATTATTAAAAAAAAAATTCAAAATTATTATTATTAATTTGAAATTCGAATTAAATTTTTTTAAATCCTTAATCAGACTAGGTATATATGCTTTATTAAACATTTGTATGCTTTATATTTGAAATGTTTCACTAAAGCTAAATCTCTATTTAACTCACTCATCTCTATTTTATAAATTTCATAAAACTTTAAGTGCAACTTCAGGAATAATTTTGCTTCATTAGTAGTTTAAGTAAAAACCTTTTCGACTATTAACTTTATAATCTTCAGATCACTACTGTAGATTACTCTGCAAAGTTTTGACAAGACTTAAAATCCAACCACTTTATTTTATATTTGACTCTTTTTATCAAAATCTCCTTGAGATTTTTATCTTCTAAGTATTCTTCCTCTATTAATGGTTCATTTTTTACTGAAAACATATTTATTAAGCTTGAAGAGTGATATGATCTTTTGTTTTTGTCTTTTCTATAGATTTTCTATCTTCACTCTTATTCAATTATTTTTCACATCTTGTATTTCATATTTTTTTTCAACTTGATTACAGACTCTTTTCTGCATTTTTAATGTCTATTATGATTTTTTTCCTGTTTACCTTCTATAATATTTAAATTTATGATTTTTAAATGAAATTGTTTTTTATGAGATTGATATAGAAGCTTAAAATGTCTTGACTAGTTTTTGAGGTTTGTTTTACTAGTTTAAAAATCTATTCATCTAACTCTTCCGGCTTTTTATGGTTGTTTATAATTAATCTAATGTTTTTCTCTTTAGTTTTATTTTTCTTTTTTTGTAAGTATTTTTAAAGTCTTTAAACATTCTAGCAAGTGTTTTATTGTTTATTTTGATATTATATAAAATTATTTTAATTGCATATGTAGATTAGATCTTTTAACAAATAGTTTATTTGAGATAATAGTTCATTATATATTAATTTGATAAAAAAACTTTTCTACTGGAATAGTTTAAAAGATATATTTCATGTATATCTATTTTTTATCCTCTCTATATTAGATTCTATATATAAACTTATTGATTTAAAACTTGATAATACTATTTTCTTCTTGTTTTGTTTTGTTGTGTTTACTTATATATAGTCATTTTATTATTAATATTATTAATAAATTATTTAATTGAATTATCTATAGTTATATTCTATTACTTTATTTTTGTGTTAATCTTATACAGTAAAAAACAAAACAATTACCTAAATATTTTAAAATATTAAATTTTTTTTTTGTAATTTGGAATTTATTTATTTAAAAAATATAAAAAAATATTAATATAAATATTTTAGTTTTATAAAATAATTTTTAATTTTTTTTTATAGCTGGCTCAACCTTGTTTATAAGCTTGATAAAGTAATATGCAATTGTACATTATAGGGGTTACAAAAAATATTATACATGCTACTAAACTTTTTAGGACTAGTTAAATGTTCTAAAGAATTCACCAGATGGCTTGTTGCCACTTCAAACTAAAGGAGGACTAACTTGCCAAGGCAAAGCTAGCACTGAGTTCGAAAAAAAAAATATATGTGATGTTAGTATTTTTAAGGATAAATTGTTTTATAAATTGGTTAATTGGATTTATATAGCTATCTTTGATGGCTTGTTTATTTATCCATCTGTCTGGGCTTGGAGATGCTTTTTCATATTTGTGATGTCTTTCTTTTTTCCTTGAGATTCCACATTCCTCTTTTCACCTTTGAAATGTTTTATTTCTGGCCTTCCAATTTGAATACAGGAATTTTTTCTATTCTATTGATATTTCAGCTATGCAGTCTTTTGCTTTGACTGTATTGCGGATTGTTTGGTGGATTGTTTCAATGGTGGATTTGAAAAAGGCCCCTTTAATGAATAACTTGAGCTACTGTGTAGTATCCAAAATTATGTTGCTCTTAATTGTAGTTAATGCTTGATTTTTTCTTTCTCTAGGTATATGTTTGAGTATTGCTCTCTGAATTATTGTTATAGCTTGATGTTTGATGCCTATTTTGTTGTGTTGACATAGAAAAGAGTGGTAGTTGTCTTCCACCTGGTTACAGCTGTAGCATTTGTTATCTTTATATAGTGTTGATTTTCTGCTATATAATTTGGTTTTGATTGGAAGTTTGTTGTTCCATAAGTTTAGTAAGAACTTGCAAATTTGCTGGTTTTCAAATAAGGTTTTTATGTTATTAATCTGAAATGAATATAGATAGTTGTATGTTTCTTGCCAATGGATATGTTTGTATTATTCAATAAAGTCTGTGAGTGTTTTGTTGAGTAAATGTCATTGTGCAATATATTTTGTCTAGATAATCTTTTTGCAAATGTCCTTTGTAGGTATATCAATTTGGATGTTGTCCCACTGTGTTATTATATGTTTTTGTGAATTCTGAGTGGATTGGATGTTGAGATACTGGTGCCCAGACGTATTTTTTATGAACCTATATCTATTGAGGCCAGTTAATCTACTTGTTCATTGTGTTTAATACCTGAGTGAGCTTGGACTTTATGCATTTACAATTTGTGGTGTTTTGTAATACAGGTATCTTTTATGGTTTGAAGCATGTGAAAGTTTTTTGTTTTCTAATAAGGTGTGATGCTGAGGCCTTTAGGGTCTGTTAAATGCAACTGATTGCTGTTTGGCTATCTGTGAAAATGTTGGCTATTGAATTTTCTGGCAGGGTTAATATTGTGATTGTTATGACCATAATTTCTGCTTATGAGGATGAGGGGTATAAGTAGATTTGGGCTCTGAATGTGTGTTCTTCATTGTTTGGAGTAATAATAATCTAGCCTAGTTCTATATATGATTTTTTGTTCCATTTGTTGAGAGATCTATCTTTGTAGATTTTAAAGTGAGAATGTATAACTATCTTTTTGAATATAGTTATGAAATCAAAAATTTGGTCTTAGCTACTGATAAGGTGTGTTGTAATGTGTGAGAATACTGCATTGTAGGAGATGTTTACTGTTAGAGACTGATTTTGAACTTGTTGAGTTGAGTGTATTTGATTTAATGTGGTGTGGATTGATTCTGGTGATACTCTTGATCTATATTGAAGATTTTTATTTAAGGTGGAGTGCTGAAAGGTGGATGTATGACTTGCTACAACTGGAATTCCGACGGTTTTCTGTGCCTTACTGTTGAATAAGCAGTTTTGATCACTGCCCTCTTCATTCAAAAGGCATCCATTGCATTTGGTGAATAATGATTCATTGTTTGTTATATTATAGTAATGTGTATAAGTTATATTACCATCTAAATTATTTCTTTTTTTCTTGTCGATAGTTATTGTATTCCTTATGTAAGTTGCTGCCCAGTGTGAATGTCGAGTGTGATGCTCTATTAAGCTAATGCTTTGGAGTAAATGATTTGTACTATTACTTTGTAGGTATAATGTTTTGATTGTGGAATCATTCATTCTATGTTGGAGGTTAATGAACCATTCTGGAATACATCTTGAAGGTTGTTTGTCTCTATATCTAATAACCTATGGCCAATAGAGTGTGTGGGTTCTCTTAGCATTTAGTATTTGTCCTGCGAATAAAAGGTTGTATTTGACAAGTTGTTTTCTATGTATGTGGTAGAACTATGGTATTACGATATCTTCTATTGTTGTATCTGTTTTGTGTGATATTGTAATTGCAAGTTTGCATTCATTCAAGAGGAAGTTGAATTCATGTTTTTTGAGTAACAGAATGATATTGTGTGTAAGATTC